TTGGTGTAAATTTGGCGAGTATTTTTTTTTTTTTTTTTTTTTTTTCCGCCGCTCGTTCACCGTGTGACGTCACCATCATGTGACACCATATGTTCCACCTCCAGGACGGCGGCGGACATGCGCAGAACACGCCAGCGGTCAATACGGCCACCGGCATGTTCTGAAAACAAATTTAATGTATACCGATTTTTAGGTTCGTCCAAATCCGAATGCACATGTCTAGTAAATAATTATATGCTATGCACCTCAAGTCCATCTAGTGGCCATATTGCATTATTTTACTATATACAGATACTATATTTTATTTCCAAGTCAAATGTAATAAGAACGCTAGTTTTTTGCCTCCGTTTACTAGGAACAAATGAACGGGGAGTTTTGCAGAGTAAACGGGTCTGCAAGTTTTTTTTGTTTAGTTTTTTTTTAAATAAAAAACACCCTTAACTGTTATTTCCTCTATTGGAAGAATGTTTAGCATTTTTTTTAATTCTGTTTTTCAGAGAATTCCGCAATGAATTTTTGGAGTTGCTGAAAAGGCGATTTGGTGAGTGAGATTGTACTGTAGAATCAGTTATGTCTTATAGAGACCCACATTGTACCATGCTAATATGTTTGTCGCTTTAAGGGTACGTTCACACCATATGCAGTGCGTTCCAGCCCGATTCTGGCCGGCTCACTATTTCGGGGGGCATGACGGGCCATTGAAGCGAATGGCACCGTAGCCACGCCCTCCGGTTACAATGCGATCCAGTGCGTTCATGGGCTACACGATCCACCTGACTGCACTCAGCGGTGCTGGAATGGGGCCAAGCCTGCCCCTCCACTCAACTGATTTTAGGCTTCATTACCCTTCCTCTTCTCTTGAACTTTATTGATTTTCCCAATGTAGAAGGAACTTCTTCTATTCTTGCCAGAGGCAGGCTGGGTTAAGTTAATTCATGGAAACCCAAATACATCTAGCATATTGAACTGATAAATAATGCTGTGTATAATGTGAGAGATGCAGTATGTAAAACATTTCCCTATGTAGACTCATCTTTTGTATTTTTACTTTTATCTTCCGCAGGTACTAAACGCGTGCACAATAACATTGTGTACAATGAGTACATCAGCCATCGAGAGCACGTACACATGAATGCCACACAGTGGGAGACATTGACAGACTTTACAAAGTGGCTGGGCCGAGAAGGTATTTTTTTGTTTTCTCTTAAAGGATCTTTATTAACCACTTCAAGACCAGGTGTTTAGACCCCCTTCCTGGCCAGGCCATTTTTCAGTATTCAGCGCTGCGATACTTTGACTGACGTTTATTCCGTCATGCAAAGCTGTACTGAAATGAATTTTATACCATTTTTTGGGGACAGATAGAGCTTTATTTTGGTGGTATTTAATCACCACTGGGGGTTTTATTTTTTACTATAATTAGGAAAAATTACAGAAAATTTTTACATTGTTAGGAAACAATTATTACCCAGTTTTTTGGTAAAATATAAAAGATCGGGTCACGTCGGGTAAATAGACACCAAACATGAGAGGTGGTTAAGCTAATTAAACATTTGGCAAAGTAAGTTGAGGTTGTCCATAAATGGATCGGAAGGTCTGTGTCAATAACAGAATTGTAAAGAAATTACTGCTGGAGTTAAAAGCCAAGATTTTGACTTTAGCTCTAGAAACAAAATATACAGCCCTGTACAGGTAAAAATAAAAAGCAGCCCTTTCTGCCACACTTACCTTAAATCAGGAACTATCCACCTTATTTTGTGGGGGTTGCTTTAAAACTAGACTTCAGCTTTAACCCTTTCACTGCCAAGCCCTCAGGCGCTTTACACCTCAGCTGGCCACCCCATTTTTGCAATTTTTCCCATTGTTTTGATTTTCTATTGCTGCATTGCTTGCATTTTGTAAAAGACCCCCCCCCGAATTATATATTTTCTGAAAGCACAGGCCCGGTAGAATAAAAAGACTGTGCTACTAATTTTGTAGATCCTGCGATCATCGTGCATGTTTATTAAATCAATATTAGACCGATAAAGATAGACAAAGTGATAGCACACTAAAATCCGTATCGGTGCAAAAAACAAATATTCCAACTAAATCTAAAAGATAAAACTCGATTGAGTTAAAGGAGAACTATGAGGTGAGTGCTTTTCACTCACCTCATAGTTCTAGCCGACCTGTGACAATGAGACTGTCACAGGTCGGCTCAGTAGATCGGGAGGTGAGCGAACACATACCGGGTTCGCTCGCCTCTCGATCCTGTCACGGCTCTCTGCCGTGACAGGGGAGGGGCTGGATTCCCCCCTCCCCGCTCCGGTCCGCCTCCACTGACTGGCGGAACGGACGGGGGAGGGGGCGGGTACAGCTGGCTCTGCCTCTAGATAGGCAGAGCCAGCTGTCACTCATGCAGCTGGGCGGATCTCGACAACGATGTCAGGATCCGCTCCGGCGTCTCAGTATACCGCGAGCTGTAGCTTGCAGTATACTGAGCTTAGGGTAACGGGAGGATGCTAGTTTTGTGCTCCCGTTACCCTAAGGAGAACTATGGGGAAATGCCCTGACCCCATAGTTCTCCTTTTAATAAATATTTGTAAATTTTATATTGCGCCTTTTTGCAAAATGGTAAAAAAATTAAGTGAGGCAAAACTGTAAGCGACTTATGTTAAAAATCGTTTGTGCACTGTGTTGGTGTGTGGTGATAAAATGATACAGGTGTACATTTAATCGCAACACAGCAGATAACAACGCACGACAATGCATTGGAACGCTTTGCCACACGCTACCACAGTTAAATGTAATGTTATTTTCAAAACAAAAAAAATCAAGCACTGCCGCGTGTTCTAACAATGCACCGCAGCACATAATATGGTGCACACTGTTGCTCATGTATAATGTGTGTGTGTTGGGGGGGGGTTTGATGGTTTTATTTTGTTTTTTTATTTATATAAAGGGTTAAAATGACTGAACTCAGGAGTTACATCTTAAAAATGCATTTAAGTACCTTTTAACTATTAACAGAAATGTCTCTTATTTGTGTATCGCTCAGCTATAGATCTTCAAATCATCTCTGAATTGATGCGGACACTGTCCTTCCTTCTGGAGGGTGGACACTTTTGTTCCCCATGGTCCCCGTGTGTGTTGTAAAGTAGCCACCACTCCAAACTCGTTCCTGTGATGGACTACTACCATGAGACTAATCTCCTCATGTTTAGTTTACTATCAGAAGAGCGAGCTTGCAGCGGTGGGTTACTTTACAACACACACAGGGACCATGAGGAACAAAGGTAGCCAACTTCCAGAAGGATGGACAGTGTCCGCATCAATTCATTTTTAGATTTAATTTGTGAGTTTAGTGTCACTTTAACTACTGTAAACTGTATTGGCATAGGCAAATAAACAACAGCAAACGATACAAAGTTAAAGCTTAACTCAATTTTTTTTTAATAATGTTGAAGAGATGGAACCTGTGTTTTGGTTTTTAGAACTCTCTTATTATATCAGTTGCTGTCCAAGGGACATCTTGTCATTACTGTTTAATTCATTTACAACCATATTATTAAAGGGAACTCTATTCTAGAACAGGGAGAACTATCTGTATCTTATTTAAGCAAGGCAAATTTAACTAGGACAGTAATTCCCAAATATTGCTATTTATAAACATTTATTTTTGTCTCCGATTCAGCCCTGGCCTATTTGTTAAATTCCTACATCTTAGTTTAAATGTATGTTTGCTTGGCAGCTGTATGTAAACATTCTTCTAACATAATTTCATATGGATTTGATGGTAAAGCTTTTAGTATGTGAATACGTTTTTCATGCCTTGCATTAAAGTATAACTAAACCTTCATTTTTGTTGTTGTTTCTCAAATATCTACTGTTAGCAAGATGTATGCAAAAACATTAAAAAAAAGTTACCAAATAGGTTAAAAATTACCTGTGTCTCTGCCGCTCGCTCCAGCCAGAAAAAGATTCTCGGGAGGCTGTGAAGGATCATAGGGCGGGCGCATGCGCAGTAGAGATTTTCGGCCGGGGGAGAAGAGGAGAGACATGGGGTAAGTTAATGGAGGCAGCCCGACAGCGTGCACACTCAGACTCTGTGGGACACAGGAGACTCAGCGCTGGATCAGAGACTGGCACCAGCACTGGAGGGACTTCTGAATGAAGATGATTCTGAAAGAAGATAATCGGATAAGGAGGCATAATTTAAGGTAAGTCCTTAAAGCAGCATGGGGGGGGGGGTTGGTAATGTGACTTTAATTTAACTTGAAAGTGGACCTTGCAGCTAAAATGTAAAGTCTGCTTTTTATATGCCCTCCTTGCAGAAAAGCAGCGTAAATGCATTATTTTTCTTTCTGCAAGGGGAATTCTCCCCACTTAAAAAGCAGACCTGCTTTAATATACACTTTGCTTTCTTTTAGGTGTGTGTAAAGTCGATGAAACACCAAAGGGCTGGTACATTCAGTATATCGACCGAGATCCTGAAACAATCAAGAGACAGGAAGAGCTAGAGAAAAAAAAGAAACAAGATCTTGATGATGAAGAGAGGATCGCTAAATTTATTGAGGAGCAAGTGAAAAGGGGCAAAGGTGAAGTAGAGCCGGTAAGGTCACTTTTCACGAGCTTACTGCTGAAAGTCATCTTATTTAAATGATCATATTAAAAAAATTTGTGTGAATTGTAATACTTGATTTTATAGTTATTAATAATAATAATAATAATATTATTATTATTACTATTATTATTGTACAGGATTTATATATCGCTGACACTTTGCTAAGCTTTTACAAAATAAAGGGAGAGTTAGCAGGGCCCTGCTCGTTGGAGCTTAAAATCTAGTAGGAAGGGAAAGTGATACAAAAGGTAACAAATGTGTGGGATGCGTTAAAAGAACTATGGCCCAACCTTTTTTGCCCATAGTTCTCTTTAGGGTCACAGGAGGACATTTACTATGTCCTTCTGTGACCCAAAACTCAGCGGCGCATCCCTGCTTTCTTTCCCCCTGCTGGGCGCTGCTTTGTGTCCCAGCAGGGAGGAGAGAAACTGTGATGGCCGAGCGCTGCGAGAGGAGAGCGTAGTGTGCGGCCGGCGTCTCCTCCCACACCACTCTGCTGCCTATCACAGTCGGGCAGAGCAGTGTGGGGGCGGAGACAGCGCTGTCACAGGAGGCGGGGCTTTCCTCCCTACACGGCTCGATCAGCCTCCTGTGACAGCGTGTCAGAGAGAAGAGCAAGTGCAAACACTCAGTGATCAGTGATCGCTGAGTGTTTGTAGGTAATTGAGGACATGGTATGTGTATTATATCCTCAATAATGAATGGGAGTGATCTACATCTCCTCCTGTTCATTCATAGTTGTAGTTATAGTAAACATACCATGTCCTCATGTTATCAATGAACAGGAACACTCATAGAGGATTACTGTTCATTGATAACAGGGGACACAGAAAAAGAGATTGAGGACTTTGTGTTCTCAATCTCTTTTTCTATTTTAAAAGGGAAATATCAGGAGTCTGTTTAGACCCCTAATATTTCCCCGAAGCCCCTAAAAGTAATGTGAAAATTATTTAAAAAAATAAATTAAATAAAAATAAAAAACATAAAAAGTTTATAAAAAATAAATATATTTCAAAGTGAAAAAATGTAAAAAAAATAAATTCGGTTTCAGCCTGACACTTTTTTTTTTGTTTCGCATGCATTTTTGACACATTCAGTGCCCTTTCAGTGAGCATTTTGGACTTAAATCCTTTTAATTTTGGCCTCTGTTCTTAATGCAGATTCACGTTAACAATCTATAAGGCAGATTGCGACACACGTAGACAACTTTTACTAGATTTTCCTGTTTTTTTTACTGGCTTGCTGTTCTGCATTTAGATTTAATTGCATAAACATATTTGTAAACACTTTCTTCAGTGGTTATCTCTTTATGGAGAATTGTGATTAGCTTCGCTGGCTTTATGTCTGTTGACATGACATAAGTTTTCCCTATAGAAAGTCTGTTTTTCAGTGAGGTCAGACCTGACCCATAGACTTGCACTGATAAAGGTGACCCATGATGCATATTGCAGTACTGCTAAGCAAGATACAGAGTCTGTATGTCTAATTAGCAAATATATCTGCCTGATGTACATACTGTATGTATTTGCAAACTATACTTTGTAACCAGGGGGTTTTAAACCTTAAAGGAGAAAAATTGGATGAGTGAAATACACTCATCCTAATAATTGGAACTGACATGTGGGACTGAAACGGTCACTCATCGGCTCTATTGATCTTGAACTGAGCGACCACATACCGCGGAACGCTCAGTTCACGATCTTCTTCCTGCCGAGAGCGGTGACTGTCATTCACCACTCTCAACAGGGATTCCCTTCTCCATTCCTCGAGTGCTGACTAGAGGGACAGATGGGAGGGGCGGGCAAAGCTGGCTTTGGATCTAGACAGGCAGAGCCAGCTGCCAATCAAGTAGCGGGTAGGATCCCGACAATATTGTCTGCATCCTTCCCAGCTGCAGCGCGGCTCTGGGCTGTTAGCAAATGGCGGGCAATAGCCCGCTATATGCTGAGTTTTTGGTCACAGGAAGATATTAGTAAATGTCCTTGCAGAGCAAGCTGGGTAGTTTCTTGACAGCCAGCTTCAGTAAATTGAATGAAATGAGATCATGCTTTACATGAGGGAGCTGAGGAAAACATTTCCCATGTCTCATGGCAACAACTGCCCTTGCTGTGCAACAAAATAAATAAGATATTAAATCCCTATTATTTGAGGGATTGTTTGTGCTCATTCACTAGCATTTTATGAAAAATCTCTTGGGAAAGACCAAGTTGAAAAAAATCTCATGCCAATTTGCTGAACAATTATTTGTAAACCTGACCCTGGAGCTGATGTTTCTGTTCATTTTAACGTGCAAATACAATTATATTGATAGTCCTGATTATTTCTATGTTCTTTATTTGCAGGAAACTCCAGTGTACACTGAATTAAATAGGCAAAATGAGGAAGAGCTAGGTATGTTTTTGTTCTGTTACAATTCATGTAGTTATCACTTTGAATTAACCAATAGAATGTTTATTTCCCATGAGAACAAAACAAAGGTTTGCTTTTATTTCTGATCTACACTAAAAAAATTGACAGTTGTAATTTATTATGAGCAACGCTTTTTGTGCACTTGATTGATATTGTGCATGCGCTTGATGGCAAAGCCATGTGTTATGCATCCTCGTTTCTGATACCACCACAAATGCCTTCATCTTGGAAATAATTAACATTAAACTCCACCTTTAAAAAAAAAAAATATATATATATTTTCATGTTTTTGTTTCCTTCTTACTTGGGAATCCTGCTAATAATAAGCCATTTCCTGTGACAACACTTACCATGCAACTGGCATTTTCAGAAATGTTAGCGCTGTCAGACTGATTCCCCTATGGCAAGATTCCTAAAGTTCTGTAAATTACATGATCGGTAGAATGAAAATCTCCATAAGGGTCTATTCACATCGCAATACATGACCTAACACAGTTGCATTGTGCTGCACTGAGATTGTGCATGGTTTAATGCGCTTGATGTAAGTTGCGTTTCGCTGTGTTGATTTTTTTTTTTCCCCCAAGTGAGGTCACATCCTGCTTTTTCTTTTTAGATTGCATTGCAATATGCACGCTCTACTTTTTTTCAGCACAACGCAGCTGACCTCATTGAATTTCATTGCTTTCTTTTTTTATTGTAAAGCATTGGGAGTGCGTTTAAACGCATCCCAGCACACATGGTGTGAATGGACCCTAAGTCCCTGTTCACACCTAGGCGTTTACGCAACAAAGCTCGCCAAACAAGAATTCCTATTCATTCCAATGGTCCCGTTTACACCTAAGCATTTCCCGTTTACACCTAAGCTGTAAGATGCCTGTCGCTGGAAAAAGTACACAAGCTCTTTTTGGCAGACTACAGTGTGTATTGTCCCCATAGACTTGATGGAAAAAGCCTGGAAACACGCAACACAAGTAGTTTTCCGCATTCCTCCACATCTTCTACACACGCTTGCTGGTTTACACTAATATCTCCCAATCTGCCAGCTTAAATGTGCGACTTAATGTACGCACGCCAGATGCACGCAAGAACACACAAGCGCTAGACAAAAACGTGCGCAAAAACATTGTCACCAAGGTGTGAATGGGGACTGCAGGCTTCATCTGTACATGAAGCTCTACTGAACTGTATACAGTGTATTAACATTTTCACTCCATTACAGACTGAAATAAGGGAATCTTTGAAAAACAGGCAGTTCCAGATGTGCTAAATAACCTCACTCACCTCCCCCTCCCCCACGTTTAAGTACTGCTTATGTCCCAGGGAAGGATGTAGAAGAGGACCTTTAGTTGGACATTCTCATGAGACTGTTGATCTTTTATATTCATCCCTGAGAATAGATAGAAAAAAATATGTGGACAGGAGCCATGTATTTACAGCAATTGCCTTGTATTGGCTCTCTGCAATGGTTGAGTGGTTTGTCCAGGTTCCATTTTTGCATTTTTGGTGGACTCAAGTGCCATTTTGGTGTGAGATAGGGGGGTCACAGGTGATTCAGGTCTGATCCGATAGGTGCATATCTATATTTTGGGTATAGGTTTATTTGTAAAGCTTGCTGTTAGTGTGGTTCCTTTGAGAGAAAATACTGTGCCTGAAGTGTGTTGAAGTTGAACTAACTGTGGCTTGGTAGTGCAGGGAATCTGAGCACCGTTCCTCAAGTACTTCTGACATGTCTTGTTTTCAGGATATCTTTAAAGGAGAACTATGAGTGAGGTGAATGAATTACACTTATCCTCATAGTCAGAGCCGACGTGTGTCATTAAAACTCACATGTCGACTCTATTGATCGGGAAGTGAGCGAACACATACCGTTACTCGCTCACTTCCCGATCATCTCGCTGCAGAGAGCCGTGACTGTCAGTCACCACTCCCCGCACAGTTCCCCCCTCCGGTAAAAAGGTTACCCCATAGTTCTCTTTTTACTTTACTCAGGTGATGTAATCTGCATCCATAGCACAGGAATTGCATAGATGTTGCATGTAGAGAAATATTGAAAACTTGACCTGTTAGGGGTACTACTTAAATCTGAACTCTAGGCAGTTCTAAAATGAAGTGAATGTCGTTCTGTATTCATTAATACATCATTAAAGTGATCTTAAAGCTTGCATTTTTATAAGTTATTTCAGCTGTTATTGAAATAACTTCCATCTTTTGGTACTCCTTGTATTTTCGCCTCCTTTTCATCCAGAAACAGTTTGTCCTTGGGCTCCCTAATGTCAGCTCTGAGGGTGGCTCCTTTCCCTTCTAGTGTCCTGTGGAGCCGCGCGTGTGCTCCTGGCTCGTGCTATGGACGAGTCTTCCTGCGTCCATAACTTAGGGCACGCGCTCCACTTACCAAAGGTTCGGGGAACACACAGACCTGCGGCTGGCAGCGAACAGCAGGGTATGATGTGTTTGACACACACTGAGAATTGTTTTTTTTACTCTGCCATGTTTTATTTATTGCCAGGAATGCGTTCAGCTAAATAAAGCTGAGTCTTTAATGCTACTATGAAAGTGTTTTTGAAATATAAGCATTGTAAGTACCTGAAATTGACATGTTATCAGCCTCTGTACACCAAGCAATGGAGAATCTGCATGGGGAGCTTATCAGTTTTCAGTGTGCTGATGAGAGCTGAGAGTGACAGAGAGATGAGCTCATCAATGTACTGTGTTCCCCTTCACTGTGCATAATAGCCTGGGTCATAGATACTTGGTTGCAGAATTCTGGCCGTCATTCTACCTGGAAGACTGAGGTTATCTAGTGGTAGAAAAGCAGAGAGATTAGAGGAGAAAGGGAGAACTAGCTAAGAGGGTCAAAAAGAGTAGGGAAAAGAAGTACTGTGGGGGACTAATCTGGATTAAAGGTGGGTATTGCAGCAAGAGCCATTTGTTATATTTTATTAGGCTTTTTCTTTAATTCTTGACTGAAGTTCTTCAGGTTGAGGTTACGAAACGCTGGTTAAATGCTGTTCTCCCTTTTCCTTTTGTGAGTTATTAATTGTTGTCTATTTCCTCTTCCTATTTTTTGGTATTAAGATCTCTGGATTGATCATTAAGAAAAAGGTTTCTACTGTTTTATTGACACCTGGAAAATCCCCTTATAATTTTACTAGCTTATTGTCTTTTTACTTAGTGCTGATGAGCCATTTAGAAGCTGTATTTACACTATATTGCCAAAAGTATTGGGACGCCTGCCTTTATACGCACATGAACTTTAGTGGCATCCCAGCCTTAGTCCATAGGGTTCAATATTGAGTTGGCCCACCCTTTGTGGCTATAACAGCTTCAACTCTTCTGGGAAGGCGTCCACAAGGTTTAGGAGTGTGTCTATAGGAATTTGGACCTTTTTTACAGAAGCGTAATTGTGAGGTCAGGTACTGATGTTGGACGAGAAGGCCTGGCTCGCAGTCTCCGATTCATCCCAAAGGTGTTCTATCGGGTTGAGGTCAGGACTCTGTGTAGGCGAGTCAAGTTCCTCCACCCCAAACTCATCCATGTCTTTATGGACCTTGCTTTGGGCACTGGTGCATAGTCATGTTAGAACAGGAAGGGGCCATCCCCAAACTGTTCCCACAAAGTTGGGAGCATGTCATTGTCCATGTATGCTGATGCCTTTAGAGTTCCCTTCACTGGAACTAAGGGGCCAAGCCCAACCCCTGAAAAACAACCCAACACCATAATCCCCCCCTACACCAAACTTTACACTTGGCACAATGCAGTCAGGCAAGCACCTTTCTCCTGGCAACCGCCAAACCCAGACACGTCCCATCGGATTGCCCGAGAAGCGTGATTCGTCACTCCAGAGAACACGTCTCCACTCTCTAAAATCCAATGGCGGCGTGCTTTACACCACTGCAACCGACGCTTTGCATTGCACTTGGTGATGTAAGGCTTGGATGCAGCTGCTCGGCCATGGAAACCCATTCCATGAAGCTCTCTACGCACTGTTGTTGTGCCAATTTGAAGGCCACATGAAGTTTGGAGGTCTGTAGCTATTGACTCTGCAGACAGTTGGTGACTTCTGCGCACTGTGCACTTCAGCATGTGCTGACCCCGCTCTGTCATTTTACGTGGCCTACCACTTTGTGGCTGAGTTGCTGTTGTTCCCAGTTGCTTCCACTTTGTTGTAATACCACTAAAAGTAGACCGTGGAATATTTAATAGCAAGGTAATTTCACGAATGGACTTATTGCACAGGTGGCAACCTATCATGGTACCACGCTTGAATTCACTGAGCTCCTTAGAGTGACCCATTCTTTCACAAATGTTTGTAGAAGCAGTCTGCATGCCTAGGTGCTTGATTTTATACACCTGTGGCCATGGAGGTGATTGGAACACCTGGATCCAATGATTTGGAGGGGTGTCCCAATACTTTTGGCAATAAAGTGTACATGTTTACTAAAATATATTACTTTTTACATGTAGTATTTCCTTAGGTTTATTGTAAATGGGTGGATGTTGGCGTGGGGGAGCGTTAAGCACTCCTGTATTTCATGGCCGTTCATATCTTGGAAGAGAAGATCTTGTAGTTGAGGTTATTGTGGAGATCCAAGGAAATGTAAAAAATGTATTTCACATCCATTGAGGTAACAGGAAGCCTTTCACTTTTAGGTAATAAAACAAAAATGTAGGCCAGCCCAGGATTTTTTTTACTAGTGTCCTAGGAGGGTGGACATCTTTTCTTCAGCTCTGCTGTAACTCTCTGATCTCAGATTTGATCTTATCTAGTCCAGGAGTCATCGACTTTCTGCTTTTGTAAATAAATCTTGGGTCTGATGGTAAACTACTTTGAGGTGTTGCAGGACAAATCAGTGCAGACCCTGAACAGACCAATTCATTTAGCACTGAGGACTGGGTTGTACCTGGATTGGTGACTCTGAAATTGGTTAAATCCTTTCTTCCTATCTTTTGAAAGCTATATAAAGAATTTGGGGGTGGATATGGAGCAAAGGCGATACGGCACGGAAGAAATGTATAATAATGCGACAAAGATGAGGGCTTTTCAGGTATCAAAAACACCACTGGCTACATGCCCCAGAGCCTGGGATCTGAGCGGAAATAAACCGCTACAGAGGTGCATTATCTTCAATCATAGTCCTGGGGACAATTATCCCAAGGCATCTGATGACCGACAAGATGTCTTTTGAAAGATCTGCACAATGGATGCAAGCCTGTTGGGCTGGGGAGGGGTCCGTGGTAACTTGTCAGTGCGGGGGGCTTGGTTGCTGGAGATATCTAGTTTCCTGATCAAGATCCGTGAAGGTTCAGGCAATTTTACGGTCTCTACAGCAATGGACTATCCTGTTGGAAAGTCATCCATTCTGGATCAGTCAGGCAACACCATTGATGTGACTTATGTCAATCATCATGGAGGAACCAGAATCCTCACCAAAGCAAGAGAGGTAGATCTCATCCTGTCCTGGGCAGAGCTTCACATTCCAGCCTTGTCTGCTGTGTTGATCCCAGGTGTGGGCAATTAGCAAACAGGCTTCCTTAGCTGGCATTATGCGGACCCAGGCGTGTGGTTCCCACTCAACAACAAACCAGGTTTGTCTCCAGGTGCAACAACAAACTGGACAGCTTCCTGTTTCACCATCTCTAGGTGGCTAGGACAAACTATCATCCAAGCTTATGGTCTTGAAAATTGGGTTCCACCCTTTCCTGTCAAGGCACACTCTCTGTTAGTACTTCTTTTTTTTTTTGGCATCAGCTGCTTTCCTGATTTGCAAAGGTTGGTTTTCTGTTAACACGTATTCCAGGTGGATGTTCCAGGCCTCATGTGATGTTGGCTTTGGGCATCATGTCCTTCAGGCAGCACTTTAAGCTGCAGGCAGTCCCCAGTTTTCTCTTGTTTTTTATGTGTGCCTGTTAGCATTTGTTTATCTGTTGTTTGTTTGTTTGCCTACTTATCATTTGCCATACCCATCATTTGTTTGTTGCCCACCCATCAGTCTTCTTTTGTTCCTCAGTGGACGAGAAAGTCAAAATTATCTAACAGTTTTTTGTTTGCTAGTGTCTAATCCTTCTGTAGGAAGCAGTATAACCCAAAGATTTAAGACTTCCTTTGTCCCTCAGTAGACTGCAAGAAAATGATTTTGCGAGAGTACAAAAGTCCTATTTTGTTTTTTCTTTTACAGTCGCATTCAATCTCAGCAAAGCTGCAAGCACATCAGGAGCATCCAGGTGAGGTTGGAACTCTTTTACATTGAGGGCATGACTGCAATTATTTAATTTGCAGTTTTTAGTGCCACAGGTCTAACACTGAAGCCCAATATACAGATGTGTGTGAATATAAAATATGCCTGCATATAATATGCCAGATATTTTTTAAATTCATCATCTTCTCTATCTAGTTCTCTCTCATCTAACGCACTGAAGTCTGCTGCATTATCTGGAGCAGTCAAGAGGAAAGACCCTGTACAGAGCCAATCCAAAGAGAAGAAGAAGAAATCTGCCCTTGATGAAATAATAGAGGTGGGAAATGTTAAGCCACTTAAGTCTGTAAAAGCTTTTAATCGTTTACCGTATTCATTTTGGCTAATTTGTCAGATAATTATGCTATATTTTCACTCTTGAGAACGTCAGGCAGGCAAGTACACACCAATGAACTTATGTAACATAATATTGCATCCACATTATATTTTTTTTAGTACTTTTTTCAAAGAAGAGTGTTGCGACACAACAACACTAGGAACACGCTGCGATGCATAGAATTTAATTAAATGACAGTTCAAGAAGAATAAAAGCTAAACTGTGAGCACTGCTGGTGTGAACGGGCCCTAAAAGTTGACGGGAAAATCCAGATTGGTTAGGCAGCACACTTTTTTTTTTTTTTTTCTTCTCCCAGTTACAGATAGTGCATACTTCAAAAAAGAATACAAGAAACGCACGCTCAACTGAGATATGATCAGTATAAGGTGGATTTTGAATGTTAAATTTTGGCATCTTCCTTGCTTTTTATTTAATGAGGAGTGACAGCATGCAGTAGTGATCCTAATATACTCATGTGGTCCTGGGTGCACTGCTGCCAATAAAATGTGAATGCCCTCGTAGTGATTGGTTATTTTGCAAACGCTGGGATTCAGCACATGCAATCAGCATAGCTTGTGTATGAAAGGCTAGCAGCATTCAGCAGCTTGTTTTCATTCTGTTACTTCAGGGTCCATTTTTCTTCTGAGAATGGCTTTCAGAGAGAAAGGGCAAGATTCTGAATATTCAGTCTTGAATTATTATTCTGCAGGGTTCATAAAAGATTTGTATGAATACCATTTTTAGCTTTACTTTGAGGCCTTCTTATATGCTTAGAATCCACATTCACTCAGACAGAGCGCAACTTACCTGCTATACCATACACTCACTTTGACACCTAGTTGGGCTGGTCTAACTAGTTAATTAGACACTCAGGCCTAGCGCAGTGATCTTTGAATTACCTTATCGATTTCCTCGACTCACTAACTCATGATGTTAACCTGTTGGCTCCCAGTTGCCAAATGAGAATAATAAAATCAAATGCAGAGTCCTGTATTTTCATTGCCCTTTTTATGTGGTTATGTGACACAGTATGTGCACACAGTTGACAAAGATGACACACCAAGATAAAGAGCCATAAAAAAGTTAGTTATTTTTTGCAGTCATTGTGGTTTGCAAATTACAGTCACATGGATGAAAAGAAAGATCCTTATCCTTGTGTTTTAAAGCTTCGTGAATTGAGCCTAATGTGTGTTTAGTCAGCATGAGATCAGACAGACTTCAGGTGACCTCCCAGGGTCTAAAGTCATGCTTGGACAGGGCAAGCTAAGCTGAATAATCTCTTTTAAATATGCACTTCCACGAATTTTAAACAGTGATGTATTTATGTTCTATTAGGGATTTTCCTATTTTGCGCTCCATAAGGCGCACCGGTGCATAAGATGCAGGCCAGTTTCTGTCACAGTTTCTGACAGAAGCTGCAGTTAGTTAACGCAGAGACAGGTGGTACTGTGATTACAGCGCCACAGTCTCAGTGATTACACAGAGCAGACAAAGAACGGACGTTCTTCGTCTGCTCTAGTGGCTCTATGTATGGTGAGCTCCTTTCCCGTTGTTTTCGGGTCCCCCAGAGGAGGAGGAGGGGGGGGGGGGTAGAGC